CCGCCCGCCGCCGCCGCCGCCGCCGCTGCGCTCGCCTCCTCGTCGTCCTCCTCGTCGGAGCCGGAGCCCAGCAGCGACTCTGCGCACACAACACACCACACGCGTTACACTCAGCGCGACACGGAGCGGGGAACACGTCACAACACGCTACATCACACAACAGAGAAACACACAGGCACTGTTTCATGCATATTGGGAAAACTTTTACGACACCGCCATGAAACCAGTTCAATATGCTATCAGCTTCAAGGAGAAATCCTATTCACCTTTTGATGATAAGGGCACGTATAGTCACCAGTAGTGGCCACTTCATACACAAAAAGTGAAAAAGAAGAATTGGAATCTTCCCAGTTACTTAACACTTGAAGTAATTCAGCTTATGTCGTCTAGTTGTAAGGTGTAGATGGAATATGATTTACATATTTTCACTTTCTTAAAAATAATACATTGAAAGCATTTTATTTATATTCTTGTTGCAACAATGTAAGATGAACTGGCCCTTGTGAGGATTTAACGTCCCACAGACCTTGTGAGGAGTCGGAAACATTCAGGGGGTGCTCACCGCCGAATAAAGTATTCGCCCATTACCAAAATCTTGCAAGTGTCAACTGGCCAATAATGAATTCAAATGATGGATTAAAAATAAAATAATAAAAAATATAAGTTTAAAACTGACCATGTTCAAGGAAAAGATCAGTTCAGAAAGCGATCTGGTAATCGACCATTGATTTTCACATAATGCATTTAATACTGCAATGCGATAATTATATGAAAGAAACGACAATATTCATAATGAAAACTTGTAGAGCATTTGCCTTCCCTATATACTTTTCTGCTCCCTCTGTGTTGGTTAGCGTATTCGCTTTCCACGGCGCAAAATTGTAACTGTGCGCTTTCCTTGCGAATGTCCCAGAATCTATTGCTGTGAGAAATCCCACCCTAAGGTTAAGAACATCAGTATATACGTGAGTAGGATGTCTTCGTGCCAAACACATCCCTTATCCCAAAGCAGAAAGGCTGGATCACCGCTGGTCGGCCAAGGCCCGTACATGTCGAACCAAGAACAGGAGAGGGTATCCTCTTTTACCAAAGTCATGCTTTTTGAAAGTATGCTCCAAGGGAAAGAATTATAAGGAACAAGTACTGCGACGCTACACGGAATGTAAACATTTTGTTGAGCTAAGTTTCTACAGTCTAAGGCACTTGTCGCTGCAGATTCAGAAATCTTCGCCTGAAATATGAATCAGTTACACAACTTTGGCATTATTAGTTCGAAATAACCCGGTGAAAAGAGCAGGAGCAATTCCACTTCGAAATAAGTCATTCTATAAACAATAATATCGAATTTGCTTTTTAATTGCCATACAACTGATTTAATTTAAAATGTTGTTAAGACTTTTGGGAAAAAATATTGCAAGTAAAATAGAGAGAGCTAAATACAGCAATTATTTATTAGTACACTAGTGTCTTAGTTTTCAGAAATCAAGGTTACATAATAGGTCATGTTTCTAAATCCTGTTCACAATCGTACACATAATATTGCATGCAGGTGAAATAAGTATTATTAAAATAAAGATAAATAAATAAAGTTTTCTCTCTCGTTAAGATGCAGATATCGGTAATAAAGAGTAAAACTAGATAGAAAAACAGCTAAATACTTTTGCTCAGTAAATTACGAGGTGGCTGCAGAGTCATTTGCAGTTTCGTTTAACCTGAAGATGTCGCGCCGTGCCGTGCCGTGCCGAGCCGGTCGAATTGGCCGCGAGCCGCGCGTGAGGGCGTTCGCTCTCGGAAGCGCCCGGCCGCCGCCGCAGCCGCCGCCGCCGCCGCCCGCGGGCGACGCGAGGGGCGATTGGCCGCGAGGAGGCCACGCGAGAGGCGCTCGATGCGTCATTAGCCCCTCCCCCTCCCTCGCCCGCCCGCCCACGCGTCCGGCGTCGCCCGCGGCGTTCGCAAACGCCCCGCGCGCTATGCACCGCCGATCCTGACACTTCGCTTCATTGATTAATTGTTAGTTCCGGGCGCATCAACTACTACGGTCCCGTAAGTGTAATGCATTTTGTCTCGAGAGATGGCTGTGGTATTTTCCTGCTGTATGGCGAGATCCGGGGCCGACAAACCGTCTTATAACGGTTTTTCCGTAAGCAGGTATCTCCCAACAGCGGGGCACCGCCCCAGCCGAGACAGGCTCCAAGTTCCTGACTGATCTCCCGGCATGTGAGGTAGTGTAGTGCATGCATATGTAAGTGTACTTACTTAAGGTGTGAGGATAGGACAAGGAAGGGGAAAGAAAGATCGCGCTCGGTCCGTGGCCCTCTTGTTAAGATACTACCCCAGCATTCACCTAGTGTTGAACTCAGAAACCACGAAAAACCACCGATCAGAGCAGACGGCCGCTAGAATTCTCCTCCAGACAACAACTGAATTCGACCTAACTGGCAAGCTAGCGTAAAAATTCTGGACTGAAACCTAGGACCTCCCAGTCAGAGGGAGTGCAGTGACGTCAGTTGATGCCCTGAGCCATCTCTCCCGGTCCGCCACTCCACCCTGCGCGGCGCCGCGGTCGAACTGTCAGCGCAGCTCGTGCGTTTCATGGGCCGTCCGCCGCCTGCACCCAAGACCTCTGGCCGACGCAGCCACCCATCCGCGCCGACGCGCCTCCAGTCATCAACGCAACGTCACCGCCATCGGCGACGCCCCGCCGCCCCGCGCCGCTTCTGTAACGAAGCGAATTCGAAGCCTCCGTCGCCACCCCCGACCGCCCCCCCCACACAGCGCCTGCCTCCCCCCCCCCCCCTGCCCCCCCCTTCTTACGCTCTTGCCTATCGCTCACCTGAGAAGGCTCCCTCTTCGCAATGTGTAAGAATCTATTAATTTTGTGAAATATTTGGCTAACGAATATTGAGTAAAGATTACTGTCCATATCGATTTCTTATCACCTTTCGAACCTTATATTATTCTTTCAATACTTCATAAATCATAATCAACAACTAATAATTTCATGTAATCCACCGTTCTTTATAATAAAATAAAATTTATTACCTTTATTTAAAACATTTAATATATGATAAGAAAACAAAAAAAAATCATAAAATTTTCACGTCATAAAGAATGGAGCAATTTAACTACTACTTGCATTGCACCGCTCTGTGATTCCACAGCTAGCAACAGTGAAAGTGGAAGGACACAAAGTTTACATTCTAATAGTTGTAAAAAAAAAGAAGATTAAAGCTGACGGTTAGATCTTAGAAAATCATAAAAAAAATATTATCATAGAGGCAAGCTAAAGGAACATATTGATTAAAAGTTATTTTGAGATCAATTAGTAATGAAATAAACTTCGAGGGTTCTGGAAGTATACCTCTCAACCCCTGTTCAAAATCGGTACAGGCATAAATAAAAATTGTTAATTTATGTTCCCCTGATGCATCCATCATACAATCATTGCATCGTACTCCGTGTAACTCATTGGTTATTAACTGTGTCTCAACAGTGTTCAAAAAAGAAATTATCCTTGCCAAAGATTTAACTCATTGGCTTCTCTGTAGTTAAAGGCAAACGAAACAAGTTGGATAGTCACGATATGGACTTATCGACTACCAATAAATTGAAGAGAAATTAAATATACAGAAAATTTGAAAAAATCAAACAACTGGAATTAATTAGAAAACTAGATTCAACAGTATTTTACAACAATGTATTACAAACTTACACCACCACAATTTCATATTTTGATCGTTAAAATTATAATGAATTCGTAGATAGTTTTATTCATTTTCGCGTCCACACTGAGAGGCATCTTCTCCGGTGTCTACTCGTTACGGATGGCAGCACAGGCGCCCCCTTCTCTCACTGCTCCCGGGGGCCCCACCCCCTCGCTTCTTCCGGTTTGCGCTCCGGCGCCGCCAGCGCTCTACGCGCCTCCGCCCGCAGTGCATAATATTAATGCGATTGGGCATGTCAGCGCCGCCGCGCCCTCGCACCACGCACGGCACGCAGGCGCTCAAATAATTTAAGATTTCCTCGCGGCCCCCCGCCCGCCCGCGCGGCCCCCCCGCGCCCCGCGCCCGCGCGCCGTTCTTAGGCGCATGTACGGCTGCGACGAGCGCTGAGCGCAGTCCCCGGGAGGAAACAAACTGGAGGCGGGCCGAGCGGAACTTGCTTTCCGCGGAGCGGCGGAGGTCAGGTCTCCCCACTCGCGGCCGCTTCTCTTCAAATCCCCCTCCCCATCCGGACAGCGTTTTCCAATTCCGTTTCGTTTTCTAGTTTGTGTCGCCGTATATATTAACGTCTTGCTTTACGGTGCAAATATTTTGCTAAAAATGTCCTATCTGGTTTGGTCAAAAGCTTCAAAATAGTGATCCTAACTTGTTATCACCCTCTTATATGTACTTAAATGTAAGCTTGACCTTCGGCATCGTTAAAAATGTTCTACTCTAAATGATGCTAATTCATGTTAGTTCAGAGCAGCCGCTATGCTGAGCCTCTCGATTATAAGAAACATTGATTATTATTTTTATGATTATTATATTTTATTATTATATATTATTAACTTGAACTGAGAAGCTGAAATTAATACTGTCCCGTCCGAGAAATTGTATTTTTGCGATACGTCACTTTAGGAATGAAGCTTGTTTAATTTGACTGTCAGATCTGCTCACGCGCCCACCGCGGTCTTTCCATTCCCCCCTCCAC